TTTTACTGATCTGTCTGCGAGAGCGATGGGGGAGCAGAGAGACTGTCACAGGTCACGTTAGGCTCCCTAGATGGGGGCCTCGGGATGATCGTAACCGATGATTAGAAACATTGAGTGACATGACTGATTACCCTAAACAGTAACGTTCGTGCATCTTCTCAATTTCTTCTCAACATTAGTCTACTGAAGTTCTCCGTTTTCTATGCGACTCTACGTTCAACTTTCCCATCTTTCTCCTACTGCTTCATCCAACCGGGCAGCCAAAAGACAGGAATTACAACCGTTGCACAAAAGTGCATGCCTATTGGTTGTTCAAAGTGAACTGAACTATCATTGTAGCATCCCTCGATCGAGGCCAATTTGCGCAGTAGTTGGTACATTGCCTTGGTAATCGCGGCCCGGCATTGCTAGGACGACCTAAAGTGGAGGGTCATTAGGACTCCTAGATCCTTCACTTCTCCTAATTGCGGGAATAGAGTGGAGTGTTTTAGGCCCATGTTGTAGGCGCTGACTTATCAGCACCTCGGGACAATACATTTACGTTTCACCAATGTCCGTACGTTCGTTAGGTGCCTACATTCATAATGGTTTATTGGGAGCCACCACTACGGCCCCCTTTCCTAAGTAGCCCAACTCTTTATTTTTGTATTACACACACCTAGGCGTGTGAACAGCAGACGAGGGTAAACCCCATAGTTACGAAGACCTGCTGTTCAGTGGTTGAAATCGGCAACCTAAGCCCCGGAACTTGGAGTGGCGAACCACATAAGGCCCCGATAGGCAGCAAATACCGCACTAATAAACAGCTACAATGACTGATCTTTTATACATCACTCTTTGTTGTCCTTACACTTTACAACGAATTAGTCACCCTATATACACGAGCGCATTTACTGCTTTCGTGTGCATAATCATAAAGACATTTATTCGAAAATCAATAGCACATGTTATACACTGTGGTACTTGCTCCACAATAGTGTCTTGTTCTACGGCAGTACCTTTCTAGTCTACTTCCGCTTTTCCTATAAATGAGACAACTTAGGAACTTTTGATGCACGACTGGTGTATTTATTATGATTGGAAGAAAACAAGTAATTTTTGTGCTAAATTTTAAGCATATAAGCGGTTGCAAAGTACGTTCACCACAGTCCGTCGAGCGGTGCCTCGCGTGCTGGACGCTACGCTTCGTGGGGATGCAAACCTAATTTAATAAATCACATGATCATGTAGTATGGTTATCAAGATATGTAAACACCTATAGCACTGAATTGATAAAGATTGTCCATTTATCAGAAAGTGGTGCATTATCGGCATATTTCGAGAGGTTTTGGGGAGAATTGGATTGCAGTACATGCCCAATGGCGACGACAGACTGAACCGGATTTTTATTTCTTAGGTTCCCTTTGTAATTATGAAATTTATAATCGTACCGTACATTGCATTACTCCTGGGAAACATACCAGAGTAATCGCTCTAGTTGACGATGTACAGATAAATAAATATACTTATACACGGAGGTCGAGGGTTAAATCAGAAATATCTATTTCGAAATCCTCAGTTCCGACTTTCCAAATAAATTATCGAAAATTCCACCTTAAAATATAAACTTCATACCGTTTGATTTCCATTATTTTTCGAGAGAAAATTACTTAAAACCACAATTTTGCTTCTGCATTAAGATCAGGCCCGTCAATTACGGTTTATAAGTGAAATAACTCATGGCGCGCTTTCAGATGACCTACAGGTCAGGTCAGGTCAGGTCAGGTCAGGTCAGGTTGCACAGGACTGGTAATGGCCACGG